AAGGGGATGTAGCATAGACTAATTTATTGAAAAAGAAAAGGAATATTTTGAAAGCTAGGTGCAGAATGGACAGTTCACCCCGAGAGAGACTTCAGGGCAGTCTGCTCATAAGGACGAGACAGCAAAGACCGCGTGAGGAATGCTCCCTTTATGGGAGTCGTCCATGGTTATTGACAAGCAGGCGGGAAGAGGTGTTGCTAGTAAGCGTGTTCTGGGTGGTCCTCTCTGTGCACTTGCGCAGTCACTGTACATGCTGTTCATACATCACATGTCTCACCAGCATCTTAAATCTTCACCCAGGGATGTGTTTTTTACTATTGTAATGAGCAAAGGGTCAGTCTAAGGACCAGTAAAGTCAAAATGTGCATGTTCCCTACAGGGGAAATTCCCTTCTGGAGACAGAGTTGTTTGATTGGGCAGGACCACACTGTGAATGCTGAGGCTTACACTGTGGACTTTATAGTCACCAGAGTTGCCACACTCTGAGGACAGGGCTACCTCCTTGCCTACCTATCCTGCCTCATACACAGCACTGTTGAGTGTCTAGACTATGCTGTCTTCTTTTAAGAAGTGTTGACTTTCTTTTGCCAGCCAGTTAAATTTATTCTGATGGATTTAACTCTTTAAAGACTTGCTCTTAAACGTTGTCAGGGAAGTTCTGGAGTAGACCTCATGGCAGGGCTAGTTTAGTCCCACTACCAAGGCACAACTACTCACCCAGTGTCTCTTGAATGTGCTGAGGATTCAGCAAGGTCTGTTCCCTTGGGCTAGTCAGAAGTCATGTCTCCCAGTCCCAAGTGAGGTCTGTGACTGCCCTGCTCCTGGCAGTAGTTCTCTACCTAGCCCTGTAGAATTGTACCTGTGCATACCCAGTTTAGCCTTCAGTCAAAGACTTAGTGGACTCTAAGTCTTTGCAGATTTCTGCTGCTCTTCTTCTGGGTAGCTCCTGCCTCCCAGGTATTCTCCACAAAATCCTAGCTGCATTGGCATCTGATGTCTGTCTCCTCCTCTTAGACAGCCATCCCCTGCCTGGCTCTACCTCCCTGGTCTGCAGAGCTCCTCTGAGCAGAAAGTCATGGCAATCACAGGGTTCACTGCGTTTTTCTCTCTCAAAGATCATGATCCTGCATTGCCAGTTGTCCAATATCTGAAAACAATTTTTCATCTATTCTGTCTAGTTTTCCAGTTGTTTACAGTGGGAAGAGAAATCTGTGACTCCATCGTGGTCATGCTTGACTTTACATGCAGATTACTAATTTAATATTGTTCTGTTTCATTCCAATTAAGAAAGTCTGGGGCAAGGGTCTATCTGCAAGACAATCTTAGATTCTAAGACATTAAAGTGTTGGGTGGTTCATGGTCAGAGGTGAAAGGACACTCATATCTGCTTTCTTATCGTGAAGAGCATGGGATTTTCAGGAACAGCTTTATAAAAGAAAACAAGATGATGGTTTTATATACTAACCATCCCTCCGTGGGGGGGCCTACCTTAGCCTTAGGCCAGAGAGACTTTTGTTAGAACAATGTCATTCTGTCCCACATATTACAGAAGTAGGGACATTTGTCATGGGAACCTGAAAAAAAGTTAGCATTAGAGTGTGTTTACAAGGTGTGTGACATTATATGCATGTACAGTATAGATACACTTCACGCTCATCTTCTTTTTTTTTTTTTTTTAAATAGAGACAGGGTCTTGCCATGTTGCCCAAGCTGGTCTTGAACTCCTGGGCTCAAGTTATCCTCCCATCCTGACCTCCCAAAGTGCTGGGATTACAGGTGTGAGCTACTGCACCCAGCCTGTGCCCATTTTCTGTAGCTAGACAATCTCCTCACTCTCATTCCAATTGTATTCCTAAAATTCCTGCCTACTTTCCCCAAACTATTTGGAGAGAACATTGATGCTGTATTCATATATACAAAGCACACGTTAGCACACACATTCATGTACATGCACATATACATACACACACTGTACAAAATGCCTGATGTAATGACAATATCTTCCCCCAGCAGCACAGATTTCATTAAAATAAGAGACATTTGAGGAAAAAATGATTCCTGACTCTCTAGTTCACTTATATTAATCTTATGTCTCATGACCCTAGTATCGGAATTGGCCTGCCTCACTTCGGAGCAGGGAAGAAATGAACATCGTGGGCGTGGTGGCTGCTAGATTTCACTTGGGAGGTGGGAGGACGCCAAGGAGACAGATACTTTGAAGTAGAGTTAGCATAACTGAAAACAAGGACTGAAGCTCTTTTTGTGTAGATTGTTGCTGTTTTCTGTTGGATGTGGGAGAATAAACGATTCTTTGCTGTTCAACATAACCCTTTCTTTATTCATGTTTGACAGAACAGAATTGTCTATTTAAAGTAAATTGAGCAGAAACAATTATTGGCAAGAGTCCTCATTTAAAAAGTGCCATCTTAACTCATTTCTGCCCCTCTGCTGCCCTTCTGTGGCTATTTCTTGTAACAGCATCTCAGTGCTGCACGGGCTGGGGGTGGTGCGGGGGTAGGGGGGCTGAGGGTGGTGCGGGGGGAAGGGGGCTAGGGGTGGGGCGGGGGGAGGGGGGCTGGGGGATTCTTGATTTTTCAGGCTCCACTTTCCCTAACATATTTTCCTGAGTAAATTCAGTCAAGTCCAACTTTCAAAACATCCCAATTGTGCAACAAAATGCTCTAACAAAGTAGGAGGGGACAAACGACTTTCCTCCGTGACCACTTCCTGGTCCTGCCTGGCCCGACCCTCCCAGGAACCCTTGCAGGGCATCGCCAACCAAGCAAACTGCCCTGCCCCCAATACAAATGTGCTCTTTCTGTACACGCCTGGGATGACCTCCAGTCCCAGAATAATAGAATGTGATCTGCTTCCTCCTCACTATGCATTATATAATCTGTGTCCCTCCAACCTCTAGAGACCGCCCCGAACCCACGTCTCTCAGGAAATATGCTAGACCACTTCCAAACGCAAACCAATGTCTCAGCATTTATCAAGTGCGTGTGCACCCTAAATAAAGTGTCTCTTAAGTAATCTGAACATAAATCAGGTACCAAATGCTTAAATTTAGATAACCTCATACATAATTACTTGAAACACTAATAAAATATATTTTAATTATCAACTTTATTAACCTATAGTGTGTCATAAGCAGGAATCTTTGCTTAAGTGGCTTCTGTTGGAAAAAGAGATCAGAGGAAAACAGAATGTAAGCCCTGGATTGGAAAACAGGCTCATTAACTGGATGTGTGGCCTCAGTTTACAGGGATAAAATGGTACCCATAGAAATGGTTGTTCTGAGGACTGATGGAGATTTTGCGTGAAGAGATTTAACATGTGCCTGACGTCGACTAAGATTTCAATAAAGTGTTAGCTAGTGGTAATAGCTACTGTTATCCTAAATATTTATATCTCAAGAAGATAGGCAAAGACTTGTATAAGCTCATATAGTTTTCACTGTAGAACTGTACAGCAAATGCTAGTGAATTTGCACATGTTGTTTCCATTGCTATCTCTTATAGATGATATATTTTGTTTGTTTTTCTTTTGGTTAATAGAATTTTGTTTTAAAGAAAAATTAAGTCACATTCAGAATAAATTTGCTTAAAAGAAATTTTTCACTAGGTTTATCTTCAAGTTAAGCTGAACTGAGAAAGCAACAAAATTAGCAACTCAGTGGAATAGCAGGCTCAAGAAAAAACTTCCACTTCCAACTGAGTTGACAAAATAATCTGGTGTCACAATGCTCCATTGAAATGCCACATTTTACGCTAACTTTTTAAATTTTTCTGGTATCAAACTAGTGCATTTCTGTTGTAAACAAATTTTAGAAAATATGCAGCAGACTTCAGACCATTGGTGATCCCACAGTTAAGAGCCAAATCTTCTTCAAATACTAGTGAACTAATGACCGTCTTTTTTTGTAATCTAAACTAGTGCTGCCTAATAGAACGTTCCATGACAATGAAAATGTCTTCCATCTGTGCCCTCAAACATGGGAACCACTAGCCATGAGTGGCTGTAAATTATCTGAAATGTAGCTAGAACAAATAAGGAACTAAAGTTTTAAGTGCGTTTAATGTTAATTAATTCGAATTCATGGTTTTTAACATGTTTCTCAGCTTTGCTGAGGTAAAATTGGCAAATCAAAATGGTATATGTTTAAAGTAAATAACAAGACAGTTTGATTTTGTATGCATTGTGAAATGATTATCACAATCAAGTTTAACAAATCCATCACCTCACATCATTACCTTGTGTGTGTGTGTGTGTGTGTGTGTGTGTGTGTGTGAAAGAGAGAGAGAGAACACTTAAGACTCTAGCTCTGTCACCCAGGCTGGAATGCAACGGTACAATCTCAGCTCACTACTACCTCTACCTCCCAGATTCAAGTGATTCTCCTGCCTCAGCCTCCTGAATAGCTGAGACTGCAGGTATGTGCCACCATGCCCAGCTAATTTTTTTACTTTTAGTAGAGACAGGGTTTCACCATGCTGGCCAGGTTGGTCTCAAACTCCTGACCTCAAGCGATCCACCCACCTTGGCCTCCCAAAGTGTTGGGATTACAGATGTGAGCCACCGCACCTGGCTACTGTCAGCAAATTAACTGTCAGTACAGTATAATTAACTATGATCACCATATTGTACATTAGATCCCCAGACCTTCTTCACCTTATATCTGAAAGTTTGGACCCTTGCTTCAGTATCTCCCCATTTTCTTCACCAGCTACTGCTCTACTCTCTGCTTTTATGAGTTCAACGTTTTTAGATTTTGCATATGAGTGAAATCGTGGTATTTGTCTTTCTGTGTCTCACTTCCTTCACTTAGCATGATGACCCTCGGTTCATTCATGTTGTTGCAAATGTCAGTATTTCCTTCTTTTTCATAATCGAATAATATTCCACTCTCTATATAAACACTGTATCCATTCATCTGTCAACTAATGTAATTTTAATTTAAATGTTCACATGTTGCTAATGCCTGCCATATTGGACAGTACAGCTCTTGATGGATATCTTTATGTTGCTGGGAACTTAACATTGCGTGGGGAGCATTTCCCCATATTATTAAACATCCTGGGAAACATAATTCAAATCCCTCTTTATTGAATTATATGAAAGTATTATGATTAATTTGAACATCATTGATTATGAGGCAATTAGATTTTTTCATTTTAACTCTTATAAATAAAGTTATAGTAAACCACTTTGTATGGAAATATTCCTTGGGCTACGTCTTGAGAGAGAAGTTACTAGGTGAAAGGATAAGAACTTCTTTAAGGCTCTAGACACATGCTTCTATGTTGGTTTCCTGAGATGTTGAATCTATTCTACTCCCACCCGCAAGTATTCCAGAGAACCTGCCTCTCTGCACCCTTGTCAACATCAAGCATTACCCAATCCTCTAAAAAAACAAAACAAAACTTTGCTTAATTGACAAGCAGAAATGAGATCAAGTAGTTTGTTTTTGTCCTTAATTGGCAGTTATGGTGTTCATGGACGTGGGCCTCCCAGATCCCCTGCTAAGGGAAGACTCTTCTGCAGTTGTGTGATGATCAGACAGCACCTGCCACGTGCTTCAGGATCAGCCTCAGCTGCAGGCTGTTCCCTTCCAGGGTGGCCCATACCCAGTGACACATGAGTATGGGCACGTGGACAGGGCACATGGGTCCAACTTGGACAGCTCTAATGGACAGTGCTCACTCAGGAGCTCGTGGCTGGGCTGCCTGAGGAACTGCTGGGTCTGCATCTCATCTGCCCATCCCACTTCCCCCCACCCCATTCCTTTCATAGATGTGGATCTCTGAGGAATATCTAGCACCCCAAATCCATCTTAGTTAGCATCTGTTCCTGGAGAACCAAATTGCAATAGAAGTGATATTGGACTTTTAAAATTTATTTACCTTTTTCTGTCATGTTTGTGTTGAGAAGGATTTTGAGGCCACTTTCAGGCAAGCAGGAAAGAATGTGGATATCAACTAATGCATTTGAATCAAAAGATTCGTTATGCCTGAAACAATACAAAATGTAATAAATTGCCAGGCACCGAGGGGGCTGTAATCCCAGCGCTTTGGGAGCCAAGGCAGGAGGATCACTTGAGCCCTGGAGTCCAGCCTGGCCAACATAGTGAAACCTTCTCTCTACAATAAGTGCAAATAATAAAAATGGCCAGGCATGGTAGCGCATGCCTGTAGTCCCAGCTACTCAAGAGGCTGAGGTGGGAGGATTACTTAAGCCCAGGAGGTTGAGACTGCAATAAGCTATGACCATGCCACTGCACTTCAGTCTGGTGACAAGAGTGAGATCCTATTTCAAAAAAAATGGAAAAGTAATAAAGATAGAGATAGATGCATTTGACTTAAAACTTTCTGCATATGAAAAACACCCTAGGCTGGGTACAGTGGCTCACACCTATAAGCCCAGCACTTTGGGAGGCCAAGGTGAGTAGATCACTTGATGTCAGAAGTTTGAGACCAGCCTGCCCAATATGGTGAAACCCTGTCTCTATTAAAAATACAAAAATTAGCTGGGCATGGTGGCTTGTGCCTGTAATTCCAGCTACTCAGGAGGCCGGGGCAGGAGAATTGCTTGAACCTAGGAGACGGAGGTTGCGGTGATCCGAGATCGCGCCATTGCATTCCAGCCTGGGTAACAAGAGCGAAACTCCATCTCAAAAAATAATAATAATAATAATACAAAAATTAGCCTGGCATGGTGGCACAAACATGTAATTCCAGCTACTGGGAGGCTGTGGCAGGAGAATGCTTGAAGCCAGGAGGCGGAGCCTTCAGTGAACCGAGACTATGCCACTGCACTCCAGCCTGGGTAACAGAACGAGACTCTGTCTCAAAAGGAAAAAAAAAAGTGGATAAAAAAGTTTTAAGGCACCAACTGAAATGAAAATAGACAAAAGTTTAATATTTACCTCTAAAGAGATCTTACAAGTCAAACTAACCCAAATACAGAAAACATTGTACTATCCTGTCTTATGTGCCTTTTATTTTTTCCTTAAGACAGAGTCTCACTCTGTTGGCCAGACTGGAGTGTGGTGGTGTGAACACGGCTCACTACAGCTTCCACCCCTTGGGCTCAAGTGATCCTTGCAACTCAGACTCCCAAGTAGTAGGGAATAGAGGTGTGCACCATCACACCTGGCTAATTTTTTACTTTTTGTAGAGATGGGATCTTACTATGTTGCCCAGACTGGACTCAAACTCCTGGCCTCAAGTGATCCCCCTACCTTGGCCTCCCAAAGTGCTGGGATTACAAGTCTGAGCCACCATGCCTGGCCTGCACCTATTTCTTTAAGATACAAAAAAAGCATTTTCACATGACATCTTCTTAAACACATTTCCAAAAACCCTTCAGGATTGGGCTCTTCTTCTGAAACATCAGGTAGTGTAAGATGAAGATGGTCTTAAAATAAAAACAAAGTTCTTTTAATTATAAAGAAGCTTAACAAAAATGAGACTGTGGCTCTGCAGGGAAAATCACGGTTCTTCCAAACCTCCATTCCATCAAGAGTGAGAAAAGTGAAGTGAACTTGAGTTGGGTCCCTCTCCAACAACAAAATCTCACCTGACCCTGATGTCGTCTCTTTTACAGCCTTGATCACTGATGACCTCACAGATGCGATTATCTGTGCCAGGAAAATTGTTAAAGAGACACAAGGAATGAACTATTGGTAAGAGTCTTTCCTTGGGAGACTTTGGCTGCATGGGCAAAACCTAATGTGTCTTCATCACAGCTACGGTGGAACTGACAACTCACCTCCGAAGAGTGGTCCAACCAATGGAAGGAGACCTTGTCTACATTCTCCTCCATCGGCGGGCGGGTGTGCAGTGAACACAGTAGTAGATAGAAGGGGAGAGGAGAGATGGGATTGAGTTAAGATAGTTTGCAATTGTTTTTCATATAAACGGATTCCAAACAATGGAGAAGGGTATTTCTAAAGTGACTTGGAAAGAGTCAATTGAGTCAATCAACAGAGAAGAAAAAACAAAAAAGCTTGAGTTTGCTCTAGACTTGGATAAGATTTGGAAGGTTACAGCAACATTTTGCAGGGAAAGAGGACGAGCAGCAGTGAGAGGAAAGTGAGCAGGTCGGTGACAGGGCGACTCAGCAGAAGCCCCCCAGGACTGAGCCTGGGACCTCGCGCTCCCTGCTGCTGTGTTCTAGTGAACAATGCTATCCGGGCCACCCACTCAGAGAACCCGCATTTTCAGAGATGTGGGTGTGTAACGAAATGACCCATCCTTACCAAAGTTGATTGCTTGTTGCTGAAGCTAACAATGGCTAGGAGAAAAGCAGGAGAGAAACGTCTGAACTAGGCGAAAGGACAGTGTCCTTGGATCTCAGAAGCAAATGAAACCCACCCCAGGGTTCCGCTGTGATTCTGGTTAATTTCTGTAGGCTTTGAACCTAAGATGATTTGATTGTCATGCTTCTTTCTGCTGCTCCTGCTTCCCTCTAGTCCTCAGGCAAGGCTGGAAGAAACACTGCGAGGGCAGAGACCTGTCCAAGTGGAAAAAAGGCTGTGAGGTTTCCTAAGCTGGGACTGGACCCAGGATGCTTTGCAGCGACACCCCAGGGTTTGCAGTGAACGTCCAAATTCCTGTATTGTCTCATCCCTTGTCCTCCCAATATTCCTTTTCAAACTTGGAGAGGGAAAACTAAGCTATATTTTTTAAGAAAATAAATATCTCCACTTAATGTCTTCACCCTAACTCTGTTTCAATGACATCATAATAGCATGGTGTTAAGACTTGAACAGTCACCTCCACAATGATCTAGCCCTGGGAGAATCAAACTTCCCTTCTTCATTGTAGGGAGTCCTGGTTCCTGCGGCCCTGAAACATTGCTCATTCAAAAATAAGACGTCCTCATCTTCAGGGCCATCCTCAGGAACAGGACGTATGCAGAAGGGTGACGGTAAGAGCTAGGACCACGTGAGGGGCCGAGTCCCCTTAAGAGTCCCCAGAAGGAGCATCTATGCATGCCCATAAGCTAGGCACCATGCATCTACCCACACGCACGCAAGAGATGCGGAGAGACGGGGCAACTAAGGTTCACTGTTTAATGATTGAAATTCTCAAAAAGGTTCTCAGTTGTATTTTCTGTATTTTGTAATCAGCATTTTCCAAGTTTTTCCTGATGTATTTTGCTATTAATGAAAAACATCTCCGGGCACAGCAGCTCACGTGTCTAATCCCAGCACTTTGGGAGGCCAAGGTGGGTGGATCACTTGAGGTCAGAAGTTCATGACCAGCCTGGCCAACATGGAGAAACACTGTTTCTACTAAAAATACAAAAATTAGCCTGGTGTGGTGGTGCACACCTGTAATCCCAGCTACTCTGGAGGCTGAGGTTGGGGGATCACTTGAACCTAGGAGGTAGAGGTGAACCAGTGAGTGGAGATGGGGCTGCTGCACTCCAGCCTGGGTGACAGAGCAAGACTCTGTCAAGAAAGTGGGCGGGGGGGGGTGGGTGGGTGGGGAGCGGGGAGGGGAGGGAAGGAGAGGGAAAGGGAGGTCATTTTTTTTTTCCAGAGAAAAAAATAAGACCCCAGCCAGGCTCAGTGGCTCATGCTTGTAATCCCAACAATTTGGGAAGCCAAGGTAGGAGGACTGCTTAAGGCCAGGAGTTCAAGACAAGTCTGGGCAACATAGCAAGACCCTGTCTCTACAACAGTTTTTTAAAAAATTGCAGCTTTTATGCAAAAATCCTGCTGGAAACTCTAATGGGTCCAAATAGATAAAATTGCAGCTCTTATGCCCAATATCCAGAGAGTTCCCCATGTTATTCCAACTTCTACTTAAATCAGGCTTGTCAAACCCACAGCCCATGGGCTGCATATGGCCTAGGATGGCTTTGAATGAGCCCAACACAAATTCATAAACTTTCTTAAAACATTATGAGATTTTTTGTGTGATTTTCTTTTTAGTTCGTCAGCTATCATTAGTGTTAGTGTATTTTATGTGTGGCCCAAGACAATTCTTCTTCTTCCAGTACGGCCCAGGGAAGCCAAAAGATTGGAAATCCCTGATTTAAATTAAACCTATCCAATTCAAAAAGCCATGCTGACATCCCCATGACAAAGTTGTTTTTAACCTTAGAAATGCAGATTTTATTTGTATAGCCAGGAATTCGGTGACTCTCTGATAGAAGTCTGGGTGACATGGCAGTGAGCTGATCATCTCAGACCCCAAAGGGATATTCCCAGGATGCCTTCTGCTCCACTCAGGGATGGCACCACCTCCTGGCTCCCATAGCAGGGTGACTCTGTGGCACCTGCTGGGTTTTCTCTTGCCCATTATCAATCCACATGCCTCTGTTCTGCTGGGGCAGAGCTGGTTGGAGCTCTAAATTTAGGTAAAAGTAGTAGCCTCATGTTGAATGCAATTGGACCTAGAAAATGCCCTTAATTCAGGTTTGTTGGAGAATTGGTTATGTCAACAAATAAGTTTCCCACTTAGAAGAAAGTCTACTGACTTTGGGAGGCCAAGGCGGGTGGATCACGAGGCCAAGAGATCGAGACCATCCTGGTCAACATGGTGAAACCCGGTCTCTACTAAAAATACAAAAGAAAATTAGCTGGGCACAGTGGCGCATGCCTGTAATCCCAGCTACTCAGGAGGCTGAGGCAGGAGAATTGCCTGAACCCAGGAGGTGGAGGTTGCAGTGAGCCGAGATCGCGCCATTGCACTCCAGCCTGGGTAACAAGAGTGAAACTCCGTCTCAAAAAAAAAAAAAAGAAAGTCTATTGGTCAGACTGATGGATACAGTGACAGCGCCTAAATAGCCCTTCACCATGCTCTTGTTGCCAACTCCCCAAGCCTCACTAATGGCTCCTTTCCGGCCCACTGGCTTCACTTGCATGCATAGGCTTTAAGAGGTCCTGGGCTGGGTGCAGTGTCTCACACCAGTAATCTCAGCACTTTGGGAGACCAAGGCAGGCAGATCACCTAACGTCAGCAGTTTGAGACCAGTCTGACCAACATGGAGAAACCCCATCTCTACTAAAACACAAAATTAGCCAGGCATGGTGGCACATACCTGTAATCCCAGCTACTCGGGAGGCTGAGGCAAAAGAATTGCTTGAATCTGGGAGGCGGAGATTGTGGTGAGCCAAGATCACGCCATTGCACTCCAGCCTGGGCAACAAGAGCAAAACTCCATCTCAACAACAACAACAAAAGAACCCCTAACTGCTACTTGCCTAAATAAATAAATAAACACAGAATATATTTCTAAACAGACATGTAATCCTGGGACAATTTGACAGGCATTACAAACCCTGGGGGAAAAAAGTTTTTGAACCCCATCTAAGAATTGAAAGATAATTCTGTAAGATGCCTGAAGAAAATCTGAAAAATGTAGACCCCAGTAAGCTGCGCTAAATCAATAATGCATGGTTACAGAAGGCCATAAATCTGCATTTTTCATTAGTATTGTCCTGTTAGCCATCTGCCTTGCAGTCCTCATTCTTAGCCAAATTTCTGCTTCATTAAAACCAATGGCACCTATTTATGAGCTCGGTTGGCATGAACCTGGCATCACCTTTAAAATTCAAGATGAAAGGATATTGGCTGCCCTATCATTAGACTCATCCATCTTTTTTGCAAAACCAACAAAATTTCTAAGCATGCAGTCCTACTCTTCCCCTTCCCCCATGTTTGATTTATTTCTATAAAGAATAATATAGGATGAAAAAATGCATTTTCCCAGATGATTTTCCATAATTAATGCCTTCAGCAATTCAAGAGAAAATGACTACTTCTATGCCTGAGTTATCTTTGTTCAACAAAGGCATATTTTAGAAAAACCCACACTCATATTCTTCTCTTTTTTTTGAGACGGAGTTTCGCTCGTTACCCAGGCTGGAGTGCAATGGCGCAATCTCGGCTCACCACAACCTCTACCTCCTGGGTTCAGGCAATTCTCCTGCCTCAGCCTCCTGAGTAGCTGGGATTACAGGCACGCACCACCATGCCCAGCTATTTTTTTTGTATTTTTAGTAGAGACGGGGTTTCACCATGTTGACCAGGATGGTTTATATTCTTCTTTATAGTTTCTAAGACATTTGGAAGTAGATTTTCATTTTTTCCTTATGGCCACATTATCTGCTGGTTACCAGACACACTGAGCAGACCGTTGGGTATTAGAGGATCTCGATCAGTTTATGTGGGGACATGGTTTCTGTGGGGACTCAGCTCTGCCTGATTCCTGGGATACCCCTTGCTATCCGCAGCATCTGGCCCTTTGTATCCCAACCTGTTCAGTTGTTCCTCTATGCTTTCTGGTCTGGTCTGCAATTTTCCCTCGATGCCTTTTATACCCAGCATATCATTTCCCCTCAGGTGTCCTTGCTCTTGGTTTTTCCCAGACTTGGAGGTTGTGCCACTCCCCTGCAGCCTATTCAAGCCTGGCCCCACCAACAGGAAGCTCCTGCTCCTGTAACCCCTAAAGCTCTTGCCTCTGAACTCACGGCTGATGTGTGCCGTAGGATTAGGTCACTGGAGATTGGTGTCCTCATCCAGCCTGTAAGATGCCCAAGGCCTGGACCATGTCTTTCACTGCTATATTTCCACAGTCCCTGCTGTAGTGCTAAACACATAATAGTTAACATTCGAAAATATCAGGTATTGGCCAGGCACAGTGGCTCATGCCTGTAATCCTTTCACTATAGGAGGCCAAGGCAGGAGGATTACTTGAGCCTGGAGTTTGAGACAAGCATGAGCAACATATACAAAAAATACAAAAATTCCCTGGGTGTGATGGTGCATGCCTATAGTCCCAGCTACTCAGGAGGCTGAGGTGGGAGGATCACTTGAGCCCAGGAGTTTGAGGCTGCAGTGAGCTATGATGGAGCCACTGCACTCCAGACTGGGTGACAGAGTGAGGCCCTGTCTCTTAAAAAAATTAATTAATTTAAAAACTTGATGTTGATTTTTGGTGCCAAAGGACATACATGGAATCATAGAAGGAATACAAATAAGACCTTGCATTTAGAACATTTTCGTTTTCAAATCAGGTTCATGTTTATTACTTCATATGCTCCTCCCAACAACTTTGGGATAGAGGCGATGTAACCTTCACTCCACACATGTCCCTAAGATACAGAAGTGGTAACTGTCACTCAGGGGCCACAGTGCAACAGCAGACAATCCAAGAGACCTCGACTGCACTGTAGGGATCTTCAGAACTCAGTGATGGAACACGTCCAAGTTCCTTTACAAACAGGGGTGCCTGAGCACTCACCTGTGCTCCACACAGACACTTCCTCGAGTGTCTCAAATATGCCACAAACCCTAAGTCAGCCCCTGCAAGATCCACAGGAATAATTTAATCTCTTCAAGGGGAATTTTAAAAATAAAAGCTTCATCAAGAGACCCAGAAAGAGTTTCTATGTGTCTCCAATATAGAAGGAAAATGCTCTGGATGTCTAAAACTGGAACGCTCAATAAACAGGAACTACATTTTCCAACTAGCAATACATTATAACTTTAGACTTAAAAAATTTAGGCCAGTTGCAGTGGCTCGTGCCTATAATCCCAGCACGTTGGGAGAGCTAAGCCCAGCTCCTCCATGACTGGTTGTGTGAGCACAGACAAGACACTGACCTTCTCTGTTTCAGTTCCTATAAAATGGGAATCGCAATATATGCCATGCATGGCCATGGTAAGGACTAGCAACCGTATTAGAAGCATGTTAATCACCAATGTCTATTACAAGCCTGCCACAAACCAGACTTGTAATCATTGGTGATTAATTTAGTTGGGGATGGTGACACCCACCTGTAGTCCCAGCCTTGGGAATCTGAGTAGGAGGATCGACTGAGCCTGGGGACATTCAAGGCTGCAGCGAGCTGTAATGACACCACCACACTCCTGGGCAACAGAGCAAGACACCGTCTCTGAAAAAAAAAAGTGATTATTATCCTATTTCTGCACTTTTCTTTGCCTACAATTTTGTAATAGGTGATTTCTACAGAATAAACTACATTTTATGTGAAATAAATGCATGTTCAAAAAGTAAGGGGGCAGATCGTGGCTGAAAGAAACTCAAACCTGAAATGGAGGCTAAGTTTATTTTCACAGGTCCCTACTGCTAAGATTTCCAAGCTACAGGGAAAAAGTTAAACTCGTAGCTAGATTGTCCTGCCTGCTCAAGACCACACCCCCACTGGCAACGTAATTCTTGGTGAGGATGAAAAAACTACATCTATACTTGCCTTGAAAAGCATTCATGCAAAAGAAAGCCCAGATTCATAAGTAATCTGGCTTTGGCATCACTTTTCAAAACAGTATCCTGTTACCAGCTAAAACAAACAGAGCGGTTTCAACCCCAGGAACTGACAGGCAGTGCAAAAGGGCAGATTGAAAGAGATTAAATATTTGTGCAAAAGCCCATACCCCGCCTTCACAAAGGGCTGCTCCGTCTGGTATAAAAGGGAAGGGGGGCGGGAACTGAGAAAAGGGCCTAATCTTTCCAGAGGAAGGACTGTTTGGGGCTGGAGGAGGTGGCGAAGGGGAGAGAAAATAGCGGAGGAGGGGAGAAATCAGACGGGTGCATGTCCCCTGGTCACTGCCGGGCCAGGCCGCTGTCATGGGCTGAGACTGCACTTCTGACCCCTGCGGTGAAGCCAGGCTGCGTGGGCTCAGGGGCAGATGGAAACAGGATGACTTGAGCTTTGAAGCTGCCAGCCTGTGATGGCAGAGAGGCCAGAAGGAGCCTGCTCCAGAACCCACTCTCTCAGCAGCAGCACCTCATTAATTTGCAGGGGGAGGCAGAGGAGGAGAGGGGCAGAAGGGTAGGGCAGGGGAGGGCGGGCTGGGATGGAGGCCTGGGACGCCGGTCATGTGCACACCGCAGCCCAAGGGCCTGCCAGGGGCTGCCCAAGGAGGACTTCAGAGAAGGGAGATTTTGAGAAATTATAAAAAACAAAATTTGTAGTTTTCAGATCTGCTGACAGTGGATCAAAGCTAGTTTCTGCCTCTGAGACATCTTAGTGGTTGTCAGGAACTTAGAATTTAGAAAAGAAAAAAGAAGAGGAAAGGAAAAAATCTACAATGGAGGAGTCGGTGCGGGCGGTGTGGAGATTGCCGATGAGAGTCTTTATGGAATTGGGGTTTTTCTGTGGACTCTGGGGCTCCTCAGGGGCCCTCCACAAAGACCAACATGGGGCTATAGGCACAGGGAAAAACACCCTTGGGAGGCCTTTAAACACAGCTCAGGTTACCCACAATTCACAGAGACATCGGGAAGGATGGCCTGCAGTCCCTTGGGGCAGCCCAGGGACAGGGCTGGAACTGTGGTTCCAAACCCTGGCTGCACAAAGTAATCGTTAGGACACTCCAAAAATTGCAGTTGCCAGGCCTGGCTCAGTTGAGTTAACTCAGGCTCCCTGAAGACAGCGTCCTGATGTGGATGTTTTTTAACTCCCCCATTAATTCTAATGCTCAGCCAGGGTCATGAACCTGAGTAAGGCTTAATAGGACTCTGCTGAGCACAGGCTTCCCTTGGGCTATGGCACCCGGTCTTTGAACTGGGAGAAGAGCATCAAGGTCACCCACCTTCTGGCTACATGGTGTAGACTCAAGAAGTCTTTCCCTTCCATTGGCTGAGAGTCAATGCAGGGATCTCGGAAGTGGAGCCTTGTCATCAAAGCAGCCTGGGGACAACAGAGGACAGAACACACACAACACTCAGCAAGTATTTGAAGGCCAGGAATGGAGCCTCATGCCTGTAATCCCAACACTTTGGAAAGCTGAAGTGGGAGGATTTCTTGAGGCCAGGAGTTTGAGACCAGCCTGGGCAACACGGCAAGACCCCTGTACAAAAACAATTGGAAGAATTAACCAGGTGTGGTGACTCACACCTGTAGTCCCAGCTATTGAGGAGGCTGGGGCAAGAGAATCTTCTGAGCCCAGAAGTTCAAGGCTGCAGTGAGCCATAATAGAGCAAAAACTTGTCTAAAAAATAAGTATTAATAATAATAATAAAGCCCACCAAAACAGAACCAAAAAACCCCAAATCTGTGAGTAACTGTGCCAGGCATTATGTTCTACAAATGGTAAGTATAACCAATTTGTTGATTCTGCAGCTCTGGTTTTTCCCTGGAGGCAGGGGCAGGAGAACCAGCCGTACCACCGTCTCAGGGTGAGGACTGTGGGAGACTCTCCTAGGTGTGAAATGAAAGAGGCGCCAAAACACTCAGTCATCAGGATCAACAGGTTTTAATGCATGATCTGTCTGCAACTTGCAATGCACTAAACTAATGCAAAATTCCATAATAAGCAAAATGTCAACATTTCAAAGATAGGACCAATATTACTGAGTTTTTTTTCTTTTTCTTTTGCCCCAGGTTCGAATGTGGCTCTTCGCAGTACATAAGTAATACTCATTTTCTTTTGAATTTTTTCTTTTTTTTTTTCAACCTCTGCAACCTCTGCCTCCCAGGTTCAAGCAATTCTCAGCCTCCCCAATAGCTGGGATTATAGATGCCCACCACCACACCGGGCTAATGTTTGTATTTTTTTTTTACTAGAGCAAGGTTTCACCTTGTTGGCCAGGCTGGTCTGGAACTCCTGACCTCAGGTGATTCACCTGCCTTGGCCTCCCAAAGTGCTGAGATTACAGCACATGACCTATTTTGAAATTTTCTTCATTATAGATTTTTGTATTAATTTTGATTTTTTTAAAATAATGCCTTCGAATGTTATTTATCCTGATTACTGAATTTTTGGACACCCCCTTAAATTATGTGCTAAGACTTCACCTCATCCCAGCCCTGGAAGTATTCTAATCAAGGTGGAGAGTAAAGCTAATTGACAATTCTGAGCAAGAAGGGAGGGAAGAAGGGAGGGAAGGGGAGGAAGGAAGGAAGTAGGGAAGGGAGGGAGGGGAAAAGAAAGAAAGAGAAATAGGGAGGGAGGGAAAAAAGAGAAAAAGAAAAGAAAGGAAGGAAGGAAGGAGAGAAAGAAAGATCTTTCTGAGAAATAAAAGGTAGAGAAGTGGAGTGGGCCTTGTCACACTGACGTAGCCAGGAACAGCAGATAGTAAGCAGTAGTCTCATCTAAAAATGGTGAGTTGTGAACGGTCTTCACCCCTGACTGCAGAGGAGAGTCGTCTAGGGAAGTTTTTAAAAATATTAATGTCTTGGTCCTCCCCACAGACTAAAAAGTCAAAACCTCTGAGCATGTGGCCCTCAGGCCACTGTCATTTCCCACCAAGGTCACGAACCCCAGGCTCCTTCCAGCTCCAATATTCTGGACTGCCTCTGTTTGTTCTGCGGCGGCTCTTGGAGGGATCAGTAAGGTAGCTTTTGTAAACTCCTTAAAGAAACCTTTGAGAACCTTAAAACAACAGCAATATACTCCCCTCTTTGGCAAAATGTTCATTTGGCAAACACAGAATTCAGTTTCAGGAATCCCACAGCCCACTCCTCACCCTCAAGAAGCCACCAATTGGTTCTAAATTTTAAATTCCTGATCTATTTTAAATAGCATCCAAAAAATCTTGATTCTTCATGTGTGACCCCATGCTAAGTGCTGCACGAAGGAGTTTATCTGGCTCTGTTTCTCTCTCTGGAAGTTAAGACACAGCCGCTGGGTGGACTGCAGTTATCTGGACCCGTTTCTCTCTCTGGAAGCTAAGACACAGCCACTGGGTGGACTGCGGTTCCCACTGCCACCTCAACTCCCTTTCGCAGTTTTCAGAGCACACGCCTCAGTCTAAGGGACCTGGCCCTGACTGCAGTCAGACTCAATTGAGAGCTTTTAAAAACTACTGCTGCCTGCGACACTCAGAAACCCTTATTTACTTAATCTGCAACGGATATGGACATTTTTTATTATTTATTTATTGAGACAAGGTCTTGCTGTGTCATGCAGGCTGTGATGCGATCATATCTCACCGCAGCCTTGAACTCCAGGACTCAAGCCATCCTCCCAAGTAGGCAGGACTACAGACATGCCACTGCTCCTGGCTAACTTTTTTTTTATATATAGATATGGGGTCTCACTATGTTGCCCAGGCTGGTCTTGAACTCCTAAGCTCATGCGATCCTCCGACCTCAGCTTCCCAAAGTGTTGGGATTACAGATATGAGCCATTGCACATAGCTGACATCAGCATATTTTAAAGCCACCCTGTGCCTCTCATGGGCAGCCAGGGTGAAAGCCCCTGTCAGTCACGCTGTGGGAGACACGGAGGGCCAGCCCAGGACAAGGGCCTGCTGCACAGGTGAGCTGGCTTGAAGGGGTTGCCGATCTAATCACTCCCAGCTGTAGGCTCAGCTAAATGGGTGGTTTTATAAGCTACTTAAAGTTTAATAATCCAAAATATAGAGTGCTTTTAGCACAGTGTAACAAGAAGAGTGCCAGCCAGGGAATGAAAACCCGAGGGTTCAGGTCCTGGCGGTGATAACGATTATGTGACCTTGGCTGAGACTCCCACTTCCCGGAGCCTGGCTCCTGCACCGGCAGTAAAGTGCACAGCCTACTGGGCTTGGCAGACATCAGGTCAAATCCCATCTCTGCAGCGGAGCAACTAACTTACCCTTCCTTTGCCCTTGTTTGATCGTCAAATACTATCACCGCAGGGGTGTCATGAATACTGAAATGCCTAGCATAAATGAACAGCAGGTGCTCAGTAAGTTTTTGCTGTTATTATAATTCAGTTCAGCAAATGTCACGGAGCCATTGTGAGGATAAATGGAGTAATACATATATGCAGCCCCAAGTTAACTGTGAAGTATTGTACGGTGGTGTTACTGTTATTGACCTTGTGACTTTCAGTAGGCTGAAGCCAGGATGTGAGTTTGCAGATTACAGAGTTCCTGGGAACAAAACTCCTAGTGTCTTACTGCCCCCAACTCACTGCTTTCAGAAAGCTCATTTGAGATCAGAATTTGAGGCGGGGTACAGTGGCTCATGCCTGTAACCCCAGAATTTTGGAAGGCTGAGGTGGGCAGATCACTTGAGCCAAGGTGTTCTAGATCAGCCTGAGCAACTTAGTGAGACCCTATCTTTACAAAAAATCCAAAACAAAAATTATCCAGGTATGGTAGTGAGAGGCTGTAGTCCCAGCTACTCGGGAGGCTGAGGTGGGAGGATTGCTTGAGCCTAGGAGGCAGTGGTTGCAGTGAGCCGAGATC